GACCCTGAAGAGAAAGCTCCCGTGAAGTCTGAACCCATCGAGATTCAGGGGAATCCGGAGGTTTCTTCGAGTTAAGGTCCTGAAACTGGAATCTCAAACGTCGAGGGAGTTCCTGCAATTTCAGAGCCTCGAGTCGCTCATGAGCATGTAGAAGCAATGACGAAAGCCTACGTGGCACAGCAAGTTCGGAGATGGGAGCAGACATCTTCAGGGCGAGTCATTCCCCTGAGTCCTGCGTATGCGTGGCCTGCAAGCACTCCGGATCATACGGCATGGCTTGAAGCGGCAAAGACTACATCAGATTTCCTGACGCAACAAGCGACGCTGGGAAGTCAAGATGCCATGTGGATCGCGGACTTGAATGCTACACGTCTGGGTTTCGGAATAGCTCAGGATCTTCTGGGTGTTCAGGTTCCAACTACCCTGTGTGAAGTCCGCCAATGTGCGGCGTTACTCCAGACGTTGTTGTTTGAAGCTGGTTTCCAGTTCGATAACGTGATTCCAGAGTGGTTACGAGTCTCCAAGATCTCAGCTGACCAAGTTCGGCTAGACTCTGATGTCATTCAATGTCTTCTGTCAGTGGAATTCATTGAGTGGAATAAGCTCACGGAAGGAATTCACTATGAGATTCAAACAGCCTCTGGAATAACGGGCGCCAGGGACCCTGAAGACGTGTTGATGACTGATACAGAAGCGGGTCTCTTGGGTGAGAACTTCATCACTCAACATCGATCCAGAGTCCGGACAGCCAGAAGCTTTCAGGGATCGTCAGATGGCGAACCACAGTTGAAGCGGCAGCAGAATGCTCTGCCTAGACCACCGTCAAGCATCCAAATATCGCTGTCGAGTGGTTCCACATTACCAACTCCATCTGAATCTGGTTCCATCCTAGCTCAAGCAGTTCAAGGCCTCAAGATCGAGAACGCTGAATCCAGTGGTATGTCTTTAAGTATCGTAGGACCGTCAGGCTCCTCTCAAGGGTATTCGTTCCACACATCGTCCGGGATTGGCACGTCCCACCAGAGCTCTGCATCTTCAATCCCAGAAAGAGGGGCAACGTACCCTGGGCAAGCGGTGGAGGCGAGATCCAAGATCCGCCGCCCTAGTACAGCCAGAAACAATCGCCGCGATAACGGATCCGCGCCTACGGATCAGGCCACGGTCACCGAAAGCTCTGATCGGTCAGTCGGTACATTACAGAAGTTCTTCAACGCTGCAATGGACCAATACCTGGCCGAAGAAAGGGAGGTATATCCAATCGACAGGTGTGCAGAAGGCAGAAGGCAGTGGAGGTGGAACTCTGAGTTGGACGTTTATTCCCGCTCAACGACCTGAGCCCCGTCAAGAAGACGTCAGCATGGATGAGTTGAGTGAATACGCGGACTCAAAGGCTACCCTCGCTCGAAACCAGAGCCCAGGCGTCATCGACAGCGTCATTAGAGCCAGGGACACGAGCGTGGCACGAGTGTGTCCGAGTATACATCGTCGCAAGGCGGTAGCCGGACACGCTCTTCGAAGCGCAGTCAGAGGTCAAACCACTCTGAGCGATCAAGTCACACCAGGGCCTCTCGTCGGTCTGGGGCGTCTTCTGCGTCCTCCGATGTAGCTCAAGTAGCCATCAACATGATGCAATAACAACAGGCCGAAATGACGGAGTTGCGTAGTCAGTAGGAAGCTTTCGACGAGAGACAACAGCGGTTGCAGATAGAATCGGTCATGCAAGTGCAGACACAGTGGCAGCAGCAAGATCAACTTCAAAAGCTGCAGTTGCGGAATGAACAGCAGATCGAGCGATGCCTGAAGCAGCAACAGTATGGCCTTTTGGAGAATATGCAAGCACTAGCCGACAGGCTCTTTCAGCTGGAGAGCTTGAAGCCTCAGACTTCTGAGTACGAGCAGAGACCCAAGCCTAGTTCACAATATTCGATGTCTGAACATTCTGAAGCTCTGAGATCTTCAAGCCCGAAGCAAGAAACCTCGATTTCGAGAGTCCATTTTGAAGAATCCCTTGAGCACGAGAAACAGCGCATGCAACGTGAGTTTGACGATAAGCTGGGTCAACAGGCTCAGAGCGCTGATGCGGGCCAGAAGAACTGGCTGACGAACACTCAAAATGCTCTGGAAGAACGCGAGCAAATGCTCAATTCTCAATGGTACAACTTCAAACAGCAATTCAAGAAGCGAGAAGAAGAACGGAAGCTTGAGACGGAAGTGATGGCGACCGGCATGCAAAATCAGATGCTAACGGTCCTTCAAGCCGCCCTCTCCCAGATTACCCCCAATCTGGCAACAGGTATGCAGTCTGAGTCTTCGAGTTCCCCTGATCCAGCAACTATGAATCCAGTACGAGCAGTCGCCGTCAAGAATAGTCAGACACCCATCGTGGGCTCGTCACCGACGGTGGCATCTGTCCAACAGAGCGGTGCGGTTGACCAAAAGTGAGAAATCAAGTGCGAGACACTTCCTGTCAAGAGAGCTGCCCGCAAAGAGTCGTCAAGTACCTCACAGACTCCACCCACCGCGAGGCAAACGGAAACACAAGGTGCGAGAAAGTCTGCCGCACGAATGGAAGAGGCTACATCATTGTCGTCGAAGAGGTCACAACCGAAGAAGGCGAAGAAGAAGTCTGACCCTCCACCTGACGACCCGGATGATCCGGAACCCAGTGATAGTGACAATGATGTTGGTCGAGGAGGAAGCTCTAATTCTAGTGATGCTGAAGGGCTTTCGAGTGAAGAAGAAGACATCGGGATGACTACGACGACGATACGGCCGATGGAACAGCTATATGGAATTGTAGACTCTTTATTGGTCACACTAACCTGGAGAAGTTTGACGAAAAAGTGTCCAGGGATAACCGAGTCAATTGGTGGGAGCGATTCTCGGATATGGCATCGCAAGGATCCTGGTCAGATACGATACAAACTCGTCCGTTTAGGAGCCGAATGTCACAGCGATCCGGGACTGGTCTACGCAGTTACCCAAATCTACGCGTCACGATTGGGAACAAATGTCACGCAGATTCAGGAAGCTGTATATTGGTACTACAGGCTCCTACTCCGAAAGGTATTTTACGATGAAGATGATCAACCACGAAACCCCCTTGCAGTTCTTTTATCGTCTGAATGCGGCGGCGGTCAAGGCTGAGGTCAAGTTTAAGTCGAGCTCAAGCTACGTGAGTCTCATATTCGAAGGTTCATCAAGAATCTTCGAACGAGGTTACCCGAAACTCTAACCGTAACGCTAATTGGTTAGAGTTAGAGGTTTCCCGTCTTGGTGTGTTCGCACACCAAGACTGCATTTGAAGGGATCCTATTGGTAGAGTGCGAGACACCTCTACCAATCAGCGATGCGAATCACTGCCAGCTATCCGCTGACAGTCCTTTAGATATTCGATAAATAGCAAGGAACCAGTAGGCGCGGGGCGCCCTACCGGTAATGCAGTCACGCGTGTCTACAACGGACACGCGGTATTGAGGACGGCAGACCCCAGTGAGAGGGAATCTCACTGCAGAGTGCCAGGTGACATGCCAAACCTTGTCATCTTGAAGTTCAAGTCAATGACAAAGAGAGAGGACTCTCTTCGGGTATTGGTGGACTCGGACGCGTCGAACAACTTTGTTCGACAGCAATGTTTATCGTTGTTGGACTTCGAGGAGGAGCATGTGCCTCGAAGTCAGTTGGAAGTACGATTGGCAACGGGTGCCATCTTGAAGCGCGTAATTCGCGCACGCTTCTCGTACAAACACCGGATGTTCGTGGAAGAACTTCTCGTCCTGGACTTGGGCATGCCGTGGTTTGCACGGCATGATCCTATTATCGACTGGGAGAAGCGTATGGTCGTACGCTTCGGACGCCGCAGCGCAACAGAGAGCGATGGACCGGTTAGTGCAGCAGATACACCTAAGGATGCATCCGAACTTCCTATAAAGACAGTGGCTACTACCGCTGTCTCCAGCCGTAGCGCGCGGGGCGCGCGAGCTGTGACGACTCCAGGAGTCGTTGACAGAAAAGGAGTGTCTGGTCAGGGACTAGACACTGCCAAGAAATTCTCCGCCGTAAGGCGTAGAGGTGACGACAATGCATCGACTCCGGGAGTCGATGCGACAAGCTGTGTGGACGGTTGCAATCGTCCAGCACTGAAGCTTGCGTGCTGTCGTGCAGCCGGGCTGCACGAAGCAGGGCGTGATCAAGCCGGGCTTGATGAGACGTGCCCGCAGATACAAGAACACGCCGGCGACCGCCCGCAGACTGGAATGTCTGCCGGTGGTATTAAGAAACATTCGTCCATGGCGGGGCCTGGACGAAAAGCAAGTGAATCCGGGATTCACAAGAAGAAGCGACGGCGCAAGCACAACACGCTGCGCAAGTCTCGGTCCAGGACCGAGATTCTTCAAGGTATGTTTGCCAGGCAGACCCAAGAGCCGACAGTACGTTGAACGTCTTGACACGAGCTTGTGCTGGGTATCAGTACAAGAAGGTGAAGTTGGAGAACCCTCCGAACGATACGTCGGAGTTGACCTTGCTTCCAGTCATGAGCTGGAAGCGCTTCGCAAAGGACCTGTACGATGGATGCATCGAACAGTTATGTATTCTTTCGAATCGCGAAAAAATGACAAGCGAAGCAGAGGAGTTGAGCCAACTCTTCGCTGGAAGCGCCACTGAGAGCGAGGACACTCTCAGTGCCAAGACCAAGAAGGAGCACTTCGAGGAGCAGACTGAAGTCGAGTCCCTACCTATTACGAGATTCTGCGAGAGCACAAGGACGTGCTCCCGGACGAGATCCCTGCGGAGCTTCCGCAGGACAAGGGAATACAGCACGATATTGATCTCGTGCCGGGTACGAAGTATTGCGTGACGCGGGAGTGGTCACTGCCGCGGAAGCAAGTGAAGGCGATCGACGACTTCTTCGAAAGTCGTCGCAAGGTAGGACAAGTGCGGGAATCAAAGTCCCCGCACAGCGCACCAACGTTCTGTGTCAAGAAGCCACATGGTGCTTGGCGCATCGTTCACGCGTACTATAAGCTGAACGATGCGACGATACCGGCACAGACGCCGATACCTCGAAAAGAT